TATAAATAATAATAAATTGATTAATAATAAAAATATTAAACGTAAAATATTTAAATTTTTTGAAAAATAAAATTTTAATTTTATAATCATCTTGAAATATTATTAAATAGTTTAATCTATTTTTTTGATGATGAAATTACTCTTTCAAAAATATCTTTCACTAAGTTATTATATTTTTGTCATAATATTACATTTTTTAATATTTTTAGTTGCATTATCATTTTATTCATAATATTTAAGTAATTGTTAATACCAAAAAAATAAATGATACTTGAGTAATTAGATTAAACTTATCATAATTTTTTTTTCTTTCTCTAGAAATTAAAAAGTGTAAATTAATAGAATGAGTTATTAATAAAAAAATTAATTAAGGATAAATAATATTTAAAAATAATAATAAAAAATAAAATAAATGAATCAACTTATCAACTCGTGAGTTGATCTTAACTCGACGCGTGATCTGTATAAGTTAATAATATAAATTATTTACAAACTATGAATTGAGATATACAAATTTTAATTTATTTTTTATTGGTCGAATTAACATTAAGTTAACGAATCGAGTAAATTTTTATCAGATCTACATCAAATCCAACAAACTAATTTTAAAAAGGATTTTTATAACTAGACACCTTCGCTGCAGCTTTCTTTCTCTTGCCTCGTTGATTGAGTAACTTTATTTTCTTTTTAAACAAATTTATAAGAGGTTAAATTTAAATTATTAAAAAAGAAAAAAAATGTATTTTAAATGTAATTTAACACTACTAATCCGAACACGCAAGTGCAATTAAGTAGCTTTAATGATGCGGCTATATTAGAAGTATTCATTGAATAAAGCAAAATTTAAGCTTGTCTTGAGGGATCACTGCATTGCTACTGTTTGGCCTGTAACAAATTTAAAATTTTTAATGGTCGTTGTAATGGAAAGTCAAATTAGAACCTCTCCTTGATTGATGAAAAACGTGGGCTTGTGTCCTATTCTTGGAGTTAAGAAGGTACTAAATGCGAGACGGGTGGAGAGTGTGAAAGAAGGGGACAGCGTTCGCCGTTCGGTATAACCACCTAGCATTAAAACATCATTTAAGCTTGTCTTGAGGGATCACTGCATTGCTACTGTTTGTCCTGTAACAAATTTAAAATTTTTAATCAAAACCGTTGTAAGGGAAAGTCAAATTAAAACCTCTCCTTGATTGATGAAAAACGTGGGCTTGTGTTCTATTCTTAGAGTTAAGAAGGTAATAAATGCGAGACGGGTGGAGCACGTGAAAGGAGACAGCGTTCGGTATACCTACCTAGCATTAAAACATCAAACTAGACGTGGCACACGGGTGGATTGAGTCGACTTTAAGTCGGATCAACTCAAGCGATGGATTATATAAATTGAATTATAAATAAATTATGAGTTAAAAAAATTTAATTTTAATAAGTTATGGGTTAACTTGTGGGTTAATTTTATTTTTATTTTTTATAATTATTTTT